TCTTTATATTTACTTTTACATTTGATCAGAAGGAAAGTATGCATAGGAAAATAAATTATGAAGGTAAAACACACGCGCGCACATACACAGACGCACGCACACAGATATATAGATACATAGATAGATGAGAGAGAGAGAGAGAGAGAGAGAGAGAGAGAGAGAGAGAGAGAGAGAGAGAGAGAGAGAGAGAGAGAGAGAGAGAGAGAGAGAGAGAGAGAGAGAGAGAGCGAGCGAGCGAGCGTCGAGTACCGACCCCTGTACTTCCTGGGCTTGCTGATAGCTGGCCTGGCCACGGAGCGGGCGGTACGGATCCGCTTCTTCTTGTGGGCACTGGCCGGGAGGGCGAAGAAGCCGACCATGAAGGGCCTGTAGTCCTCCTCGTCGTGGGAGCCGGAGATCCCCACCTCGTGGAAGTGCCGCTCGTGTTCTGGAGGGAGGAGTCGGGGGAATGAACTTCACTGGGGCGAATGGTGAATGACGTTGTTCCTTCGATACGGTGTTTTAGGAATGGAGGAATAAGGAAGTCTATAACGCAAAATATGGATCGTAAACACACACACATATATTCATATACACACAGATATGCATATATAAACATATACATGTATATATAAACATATATGTGCATATATAAACATATAAGTATATATCCCCATTCACAGTCACTCCGCCACTCACTGTATCCGGGCGACGTGACCGCCAGCCGGAGGCCGTAGTTGGTGTCGGGGAAGATGAGCCACGAGAGGACGGGCCGCGTGACGTTCACCGTGACCCAGCCGGGCTCGCTCAGGCTCACCCGCGCCACCTTCGACTCGCTCCTGGAGGGGAAAGATGATTCTACATGGGTCTTTGTCATTTTTACTTTTTTTAAGGAAAATTGATGGTATATCGAGGATATTATTTGAATCATCATCGTTTTTTTTCAATTGTGTGGTCTGGTTACATTTGATATTTTATAAATATGAAGATATGAAAATATATCATATACCTCACTTACTAAATAACATGCAGACAAACAATCACAAACAAGCAATGCATGCACAACACAAAAATACAAACTAGACCAAATTAACAAAGCAAAAACTCCCACCGCTCACCCTTGTTCATCGGTGACCACATACACATGCAGAGTGACCACCTCGTCGAAACCAGGCTGTCTGTGGACCTGGATTTCCGCCCCGAGAAGCGAGTGGTCCAGAGGCACGTCGTTCACATCGAAGTACAGCCGTTTGTTGGCGCCGTGAGCTGGGCGACCCGTGGGCGGATCTGAAACAGCGGGGAAGCGGGAGTGATGGTGATGATAAGAGAAGGAGGAGTGTAATTATAAAAATAATAGCAATGACAAAAATAATGCTGATATATAATAATAAAATAATAATAAAATAATAATATATAATAATAAAATAATAATATAATAATGATAATGATGATGATGATAACATTATAGCAATGGTAATAATGATGATAATAATTGCAACGACAACAATAATTATAATAATAGCAAAAATATTATGACACAAATAATGATGATACTAATATTAACACCAACAAAAAGACCAAAAACAACAACAAAAACTTCAACAACAAAAACAACAATAATACAATAAATAATAACAATAATAATGATAATTATAATGCTAATAAAGAAATAATAGCAATAGTAATAATAGAATTGATAATATACTACTAATACTACGACTACTACTTTTGAAAATGATAATAATGATAAGAACTACAAAAAACAACAATTACAATAATAGTAATAGTAATAATGATAATGACAATAATAATAATATAATAATACTAATAATGGTATTAATAAAGATAATGATAATGATATTAGTAATAATAATAATAATAATAATGATAATAACAATAGTAAAAATAATAATAATAACAATAATAATGATATAATAAATAATTTTAATAATAACAATGGCCATAACGACCAAAATGATTATAAAAATAATGATGACAACTTCAACAAAAACAGTAATAATAATAATGATAATAATAATTATTAAAACAAAAAATAATAAGGGTAATTGTTACAGAGACCCTCCCAGAGACTAAATCGAAAAAAGGGTGTTTTTCTGCAGGAAATCCAATGATTTCATCGATTCTCTTTAGCGAATGAATCGTTCAGGAGATCGAGTACAATTTCCCCGTCGACGATCTTGATTTGATAGTCCCGTTAGCAGGGGAGGGCATGAAGTATATCAGGGAAATTATGGGGTAATACAGGCTTAAATAAGAATAATAAAGATTTTAAAATGCGTAAAACTAGCACATTAAATGCTTAAAATCGGCCAACGAAACTCTACGGGTGTAACCACCATCTTTGACATTCTACGGACTGACGCGCCAGAAATCAAAATCTCTACGGGAATCCAACCCACTTTTCGGCAAAAGTCTACGGGAATTCACACATTCCAACCCCCCAAAAAACGTATTGACCCATAAACCAACCTAATATATCAATATAAATTTCCGTGACTAAGCGTGCCCTTCGGGCACTGCCCGAGGGGAGGGTTGATGGGGGGCAAGCCCCCCAACACCCCCGGGACACATTCTTTCCACCTCGGTATGCACGGCAAGATAGAGCTGCATTCATACGAAAAATAATAAACCAAATTCCTTTATATCTGGAACCGTCAAACTTTCTTTTGTTCCCTTCTACCGTCTGGACTGCTTCGATTTTAATAACTTTTTTCGGCATTTGGAGCTCTTGGTGGGCCCACATATTAAACTGGGATCGTTATTGAAGTCCATTTTATCTTCTTTGTCACTGTATAGTCTTAAGAATAACCCAGAATGAGCACAACACTAAAAACGCAACATTTCTTACCGGCGTTCCATCTCGAAATGAGCGGGCCGGCCAGGTGTCAACCAGGCAGCAGGCGAAAGGAAGTGTGAAATGCAGAATGCACACGAATCCAAGGCTATAAATCAATCTTAAAACACGCAAATGAAGTATAATGACATTAATAAAACACTTTAAGAGCATGAATGTGTAACATTATACACATATGTAGCCAAATATTGTACTGACATGCACGTAGTAATATTGGAACTACTTAGGGCATCGCATTAAAGAGTTATGGTTCAGTGTTGTGTTTTTCCTTGCAAGATAAACAAGCTGATCGATAATAACATTGGTGATCATGATAACAATAATAATAATAATAATAATAATAATAATAATAAAATAATAATAATAAAATAAAAAGGATAATATTTACACTAAAAATAATAATGATGATATTTTAAAAAATCATAATCATAGCTAAAATTATGATTGTAATAATGATGATGATAATGAGAGTTATAGTAATATTAAGAATGATATAGGTAATGATACTACTACTACTACTAATGATAATGATAATAATAACACCAACAGCAATAGCAATGATGATAATAATAACGGTAATAATAATGAGAATAGTAATAACAATAATAGTAATAATAATAAGAAGAACATCAACAACAACATCAATGATAATAATAAGACTCATATTACTACTTCTAGTAATGATTATAATAAAAATCATAACAACAGCAGCTACAACAACAATATTAAAAAAGAAATAGTGATAACTATATTGATATAATTAAAGATAATAATAACAACAACAACAAAATAAGATGGTAACAAAAACAACAAGAATAATAATATTAATAATACTGATAAAAATAATAACAATAATAATAATAATGATAATAATAATTATTGTAACAATGATAATAATAATGATAATAATAGTAATAATAATGAAAATAATAATAACAATAATAATAATAATGATAATGATAATAATAATAAAACCGATAATAATAACAACAACAACATCAATAATAATAATAATAATAATAATAAATAATAACAGCACCACCAACAACAAAAACAACAACAATAATAATATAAATGAATGAATGAAAGTAATGAATAATAATAATATTGATAATAATAATGATAATAACAATACCAGCAATAATAGTAATAATAAAAATATAACAATTATCACCATCATCATCATCATTATAATGATAATAATAATAAAAACAATAATAGTAATAATGATAAAATAATAACAACAACAGCAACAGTAATAAAGTAATTTATATAACATAATAGTAATGATAATATAAATAATAAAATATACAAAATAAAATAAAGTAAAAAAACAATAACATTAAAATAATATAAATAATTTATATAAATAAACAAAGCAACATTTAGAGATAATTATATTATGATTAGATAATAATATATAACTAATACTATAATACTAATATATAATCTAATTATTAATAAATTAAATTTACAGTTCTTACATACATCATCATCATCTCTTCATATTATCATTCTCATCTCATCAATTTCATCATTCAATAATAAGTAATATATAAGTATAATAATAATATGTATCACTATACACTACACAATCATCATATATTAATATAAGACATAATTGGTAATATTAAAAAACAATAATATAGTTATATAATAAATTAAACAATAAAATATATCAATAATGAAAAGTTTATTATATAAAGTAATCATAAACCGCGAAACAATATGAGTAATTTAATATATCCATATTATGTAATAAAATGTATAAATTATTATAATAATAATAATCTATATAATAACTATAAAATAATGATAATATAAATAAATATAGAATCATTCAGCAGTCCATATGTACAACTATAACCACTATATATATAGTATATATTTTATAATTAGTGATTCTATATTAAATTAATAGTAGTAAGTTATAGTAGTTTAGTAGTTAGGGGTTAGATATGATTGGGTTATGATATACATTATGTAGAGCTCAGATGTACTAGTTGAACGCTTATGGAGATAAGGTACGATAATATGATAGTAGTAAATAACCTATAATATACAAAATAAATATATTCGGATAATATAGAGTTAAATCTATGACTCATGCCACGATATTAGTCAATTGATTATCACAAGAACAGTG